GGTGGTGGAGCCACTATGCCAGAACTACCATTTTAGGTGCTGTGCTATACTCCATCCACACAGCGAGGATGACATTTCATAATGTAGATACAGAACCTGACCAGGAGCTGGGTCCTTGGAAAAGAGTCCCAGGAGCCAGGTGCCAGAGTCCTGCTCCGAGTGGTGTCCCCATCCAGAGGCCACAGAGAGGACACCTGCAGTGACAGGGGACTGATGATGCTCTCAATACACTCAGGGGCACATGCGGAAGAGCCTGCCTCAGGAAGAGCTTCCCTGTTTGCGCAGAATTCTCTGGGAGCGTCTCTCAGGCACAGCAAGGGGCGAGAGGAGCCGGGCACAAAGGAGTGCGTGTTGCACGATTCCGTTTACCTGACGGTCAAGGCCACACAAGACTAATGGACGGTCAGGGTGGCGGCTACCCGGGGGAAGGGGGGCGCACGGCGTGCCAGGAAGGGAGCATCCCCGGCTCCACTCCGTTCTATACCTGGATCCCAGCGGTGGTTACACAGATGCATCATACTTAGAAGTCCATCAGGCTCTGCACTTAAAGTCCACGCCCTGGTCAATAAAGAATTTTTAAAAGAGTTTTCCAGCTGAGCCGCCCACCCCCATCCCTGCCCCAGCCAGCTGGCGTTGCCCTGGAAAAGCAAATCCCAGGCCTCCCCAAGCTGGCCAGTGGGTAGAAGTAGAGGATACGGTTCCACCCCCTTTTCTGGCCCTTCCACCCCCACTTCCTTCTCAGTTTCAGGGCCCTAAAGTCAGTGCCAGAAGGGCCAGGACCTTAGCGATTTTATTCTGACCCCTCACTTTGTGGAGCAGGAAAGCAGGAAGCAGAGAGGTGGAGGGACCCCTGACTCCCAGTGAAGGACATGGGCACCACCTCGGGGACCCGGTTCCTCTGACACCCAGTCAGGGCAAAAGCCTCAACAGCAGAAAGGGCCCCTTTCCCTCCCCCTGCAGCTGAGCCATTTATGCTTAGTGAGGCCTCTGTACAATCAGGCCCATCCAGATGGAGGATTCTGGACAGCACGAACGTTTCCTACTTGATAAGTGTCTGGGGCCCACCCAGCTAGGCGGGGCTCCCAGAGTTGGCGCAGAAGGCCCAGGCTGGCTCCTCTTTGGGGCTCACCCATGGCCAGCCCTGAGAGCTGTAGACCTGAGAGGTCACACACTCCCAGAGCCCTGGGGGCAGAAAGAGACCTTTCATTTTCCATTAGCCTCCTGAGGCCAGACGAATGAGCAAATAAAACTATTGTTTAAACCCTGTAAGTCCTAACCCAGAAAGTCCCAGTGAAGGCCTTTCCTGATTCATCCACCCCGCCACCCCACCCCCCACTGTCCCACCCAGGCCCATGTCTCCCCTCTTCCACAGTCAATCCCTGTTATAGCCGAATTGTGCGACACCCCTGAATTTGCATGTTGAAGTCCTAACCCCAACACCCAACCCCCAAGTCTGTTTGGAGGTAGGGCCTTCAAGGAGGTAATCACGCTAAAATGAGGTCATATGAGCGGGCCCTCATCCAATAGAACAGGTGTCTGAATAAAGAGGAGATTAGAGATCAGACAGAGTTAAGCAGAGGAAGGCCCTGTGAAGACGCAGGAGAGGGCGACCATCACAAGCCCGGGGAGAGGCCTCAGGGGAAACCCACCCTGCTGGCACCGGACCTTAGACTGCCAGCTTCCAGGCCGGCGGGAAAATAAAACCTATTATTTAAGCCCCCCGGCCGTGGAATTTGTTGTGGCAGCTGGAGCAGACTAGACAACTCCCATCATTAGAATGCCCCCCATTTTCACACCTGGCCTTTGCCCAGGCTGACCCCTCATGGCATCCGAGTACCGTTCCTTCCCTCCTCCTCCTGCCCTCTGAGAGCTCCACCTCCCGGCCTTGCTGCTGGCCGAGGGCACGTCCCTCAGTCCTGGTCAGCTAACTGCTCTAACAGTCTTGTGTCACCTGTGTCACCACTCCAAGCTCTGTGACGCCATACTTTGGTTTAGGTCCTGTGACTGCCTCCCTCGCCAGACTTTGACCCGGAGGCTGCGCCTGACTCATCTCTGCATCCCCAGCACAAGTAACAGATGGCCTGATAAAATGTCTGCTCGGCCGATTGCGGTGCATCGAGGAGTTTGCTGAGCGCCTCAGCGTAGCCCCGTCCGGGTGCCCGCCCTCAGACCCACGGCTTCTCCTTCAGGGCCTCTGTCCTGCTCCACACGGAAAAGCTAAGAAGGCTTTAAGGTCAGAAGAATTAGCACCGCTTGAGAGACTGTGTGTCCTAAAACAGAAGCCCGGGGAAGGCAATGTGCACCCCAATATATGGGTGGTGACGGATGACATTGAGGTTGCCAGGGGCCGAAATGGCTCCCTCTAGTGCTGGTGAAGCCTGCCCAGACCTGTGAAGCGAGGGTGTGTGTGTGAGTGTGTGTGTGTGTGTGCGCGCGTGTGTGTGCGAGTGTATGTGAGTGTGTGTGTGTGTGTGCGAGTGTGTGAGTGTGTGCGAGTGTGTGCGAGTGTGTGCGAGTGTGTGCGAGTGGGTGCGAGTGGGTGCGAGTGTGTGTGAGTGTGTGTGTGTGAGTGTATGTGCGAGTGTGTGTGTGTGTGTGCGAGTGTGTGAGTGGGTGTGTGTGTGTGTGAGTGTGTGTGTGCGAGTGTGTGTGCGAGTGTGTGTGTGTGTGCGAGTGTGTGAGTGTGTGAGTGGGTGTGTGTGTGTGAGTGTGTGTGTGTGCGAGTGTGTGTGTGTGTGAGTGTGTGTGTGAGTGTGTGTGTGTGCGCGCGTGTGTGTGTTGGGGCAGGGGTGTTATGCGTGCATCTAGGGGTGAAAAACACCCCACACTCACCTGTGTGGGGAAGCAGGTGTAGGGGCTCTGGCACCCTGAGGACAGCACAGTGTTCGAAGCTCAGACAGACCCGGGGTGTGGGGTCTGAGGGGCAGCTCCTCCACTGCCAGTTAAATGAGCTGGACGCTTAGGCAAGAGGCCCCCGCACGGCTCCTGGCCCCTGGTAGGTGCCCTGCACCCATGGATGCTGCCCTCTCCTCATGTCTGTCCTGCCCCCGCACGGAGCCTGGAGCAGAGAAGGCATCCTCTTTAGGGCCAGGTTGGCAGGGGTTAACAAGAGAAAGGCTGGTTGTTTCTGAAAAGCACAAGGCTGGATCGATAGCTCTACAGAGGCAGCCATTGATCAGCCAGGGCGAAGGCTCTGTGGGAGCTGCCAGCCAGTTTCTCTGAAACATCAGAGCAGGGCCATCCGGGAAGGCCAGGCTGAGGCGGAAAGGCCCTGCGGCATGTGTATCCTGGGGTCAACCTCCCCCTAGCACAGGGCTCCCTCCCCTACCCCGTACCCCTGGGACCTGACTCCAGTTGCAGTGTTAGAGCTGGAAGGGACCCGGGCTTCCTCCCACTCAGTTCTTAGTCTGAGATCCATGTTAGGAATTCAGCCATCTGTGAACTTTGAGGGGGGAAAAAATGTTCACTAGTCTGTAGCTGGAATTTAGCATTTCTTTCTGTTATGAACACAGACATCAAACCACAGTGGAACTAGGAGTCCCTAAGACTTTGTCACTAAGAGTAATGACCATAGCAGAATTCTCAAAACACAATTAATACGCCTACCTCCAAATGCGGGGGTTGGTGAGACCTGCCACTGCCTCTCGTTTAATGCATTAGTAAATAAATGCACATATTCCTATGTCTCAGATCTGTGTCTTTTATACTTGGATAAGTTATCCTATGCATTTTCTTTTACCAGCCTGCCCAAAGGGTCCATGACACAAAAAGGGTTAAAAATTCCTATTCTGGTTCAACACCCACTGCAGCTGGGGACACTGCAGCCCAGAGCAGGCAGTGCTTTCCCTGGGTGGGTGGATAGATGCGAACATGAAAAATAGCACAGCAATAACAATAGTGCTAACCCCCATTGGCTGCCTACCTTGAGCCAAGCATTGTTCTACATAATTTAATCTTCACAACAGCCCCACGAGGAAGATAATGTTACTGTCCCCGTTAAACAGGTAAGAAAGCTAAGGCGCAGAGATGTGAAGTGACTTCCCCAAGGTCACACAGCTCATAAGTGGAAGAGCTGACTCAAACCCCCGAGCCTGCATGCTGAACCCCCCTCTCTGACTGCTCCTAACCGGTCCGGGTGAGCATGGTTTCGTACTGAGCTCTGGAGTCACAGGCCAAGGTTTGAACTCCAGCTCTGCCGCTCGCAAGCTGTGTGACTCTGGGCGATGCTCTCTTCTTCCACACATCACAGTTTTTTCACGCACATCAGGAGGAGAGCAGTAGCATCTCCATCCTTGGTCTGTGTGGGTGAATAAGGCGTGGGAAGCTCTAAGCGTAGTGTTGGCACCGAGCAACTGCTCGGTAATTTTGTTCCAATTGATGAAACCAAGGCACAGACCCATTTAAAATGGTCATGAGCACCTATGTGCTAAAATCTTCAGAAATGAATAAAGTAAAAGGCTAAAAGCCAGATCCCAGTTCCTGGCAAGATCGATAGGTGCCGAGAATTAACAAGTGCCCGTGGAATTTTGCTTTCGTGTTGGGGAAGAAGGGGAAAGGCTAAAACTGGAAGCAAATCTATGACAATGGCAGAGTTAGTGACTTCCTTCCAAGGAGGACAGTGTGGAAAGGGGAGAGTAATGCAACAGAGGAGTCACCTGACCGACACGACCTTGGCCAGCTGATCAAGGTCAAACGAACAGTGAGAAGTCATACTGATAGCATGTCCCTTTGATAAAAGAATGGTACTTCTACCTCCTGAAAACCATAACCCCTGTCTAGTCACAAGAAAAACATCCAACTCCCATTGAAGGACATTCTACAAAACACCAGATCAGTATGTCTCGAAACTATCGAAGCCACCAGAACAAGGAAGGCCTGAGAAACTGTCACAGTCTGGAGGAGCCTAAGGAGACGTGATGATGAAATGTAACATGGGATCCTGGATGGGATCCTAGAAGAGAAAGGATATTAGGTAAAAAAATTTTTAAAAACAAACTATGGAATGTGATAAAATATGGACTGTAATTAACGTTAATGTATCAATATTGCTTCATGAGTTGTGACAAGGTACCATACATACTATGTTAAACAATAACATTCATGGATGTGAGCTTAATTTTTACAACTCTTCTGTAAATCTAAATCTCTTCTAAAATAAAAAGTATTCTTCTAAAAACTGTTACATTATATCTGAATGGTGAGGTTACACGCAATTTATTTTCTTAATTTTACTTCCCTGTGTTTTCTAGGTGGTCTGTGATGAATATGTTTTGCTTTTGTCATCAGAAAAAAATTCAACAAACTCGGTTTTTAAAAAATGAATGAAGGGTGTCTGGCCATTTGGAGACAGAGTGCTATATAAATATAAGTATAATTAGGGCCGTTCCTTGAGCAGCGATTAAAACCCTCTTTAGCATGCTGCTCGCAGGAGGCTCTGCCACCAGGGCCTGGCACTGTCCCAGGGGTGGGTGGTGTGCTGGAACCTGCCAGCACTCTTCCTGTCAGTGCTGGGCTCTCCCTGGCTGGCAGGGCAGGGGCAGGAGCCAGGGCGGCTGCTGCAGGGCCAAAGGGCTTATCCCAGGTGAGGAGATACTGCTGATTCAGAGAGTCCCTGAGGCCAACCAGCCCCTAGAAAATCCTGTTCCCCAGCTTCCAGGCCACTGTCAGCCTGCATCAGGCCACTGGCCTAGGAATCAAGAAAACCAAATAAAGTCCTCTGTTCCCACCATACATACAAAAGAAAGACAAGATCAGCCAGGACCACCTGCTTTGTCCCAGGTAAGGTCGTTCAGCATCATTTAGACCTCAAACAGTCTGTAAAGCAGATACTGTAGTCACCCCTCAGCGGCAGTTTCACTTTCCATGGCAACCACAATCTGAAAATAATAAATGGAAAATTCCAGAAGTAAACAATGTATAAGCTTTCAGCTACACCCATTCTGAGCCGCATGGTGACATCTCGCGCCACCCTGCTTCATCTCACACGCAACGTGCATCCATCCCATTGTCCCGAGCCCCCACACGGTGTGTGCCCCCCACACGTTAGCCACTTAGCTGACATCTCCTTGGTCACAGGGAGTGTCACGGTACCACAGTGCTTGTGCTCAAGTCACCCTTATTTTATGGAACAATGGCCCCAAAGTGCAACAGTAGTGATGCTGGGGATTGGGGTTTGCCAGAGAGGGGCCACAGAGTGCTTCCTGTACACGAAAAGGTGAGTACAGTACAGCAAGATATTTTTTTAAACGTATGTTTTTATTGATTTTAGAGAGAGGAGAAAGAGAAACATCAATGATGAGAGAAACATCTATCGGCTGCCTCCTACACGCCCCCTACTGGGGATCGAGCCCGCAACCCGGGCATGTGCCCTGACGGAATCGAACTAGTGACCTCTCGGTTCGTAGGTCGACACTCAACCACTGAGCTACCCCGGCTGGGCCAGCAAAATTTTTTGAGACCAGTCACGTGCACACAACTTATATTACAATTTTTATAGTTGCTTTATTTCGTTGTTATTGTTGCTAATCTCTTACTGTGCCTAGTTTATAAACTTTTTCACAGGTATGTATGTATAGGAAAAAAACATAGCTTATATATACATATGGGGTTGGTACTATCTGTGGTTTCAGGCATTTATTGGGGGCCTTGGAACATATCCCCTTTGGACAAGTGGAGACTACTGTTATTACTACGCCCTTTAAAGCTGAGGTTCAGAGGGGGTCCCTGAAGGTCAACAGCAGAATATAAACTGATCTGCTCACTCCTACACCAGAACTGCCTGCCTCTAATCCTTTCAGGGATGGGCTGTGACCTTGGCAGATAGCTGGACCACCTTTGGGGGACAGGATGCTGGAGGAAGGAAGTGCTAATGGTGGACAGCAAACCACGAGACTTTCCACAATACCCCACCACTACCACCCAAATACCAAGGGCCATGAGCAAGGGCCAGCTTGTTGTCAGGCTCAACCACCCCAAACAGCAATTTCCACTTGGGATCGAAGGAAATGTGGCCTGCTCCCCGGGCCCCCTCCTATTGTTTCCGAGGCTTCCTCCATTGTCTGGTATCCAATTCATACATGGACAGGCCCTTGGTGAGGGCATCAGAAGCAATGGATAAGGGAGAAACCATGTGAAGTCATTTCTAACTGTAATGAGATTGGGACCAGATCCCTGAAAGTTATCAACAAATACCCTGGGAAGGGACCATTCAGCTTTCTAACACGTGGGAAAGGGCTTGATTCCTTTATAAACACGTTGAGTTGCTGCCCTTACTCTAACCTCTCTTCCTGGGTGCATTCCTCTTCAGAAATGGCTTTCAGAGCCACCTTTGACCAAAATTGACCAGCCTGCTTGACTGCCCCAAGTATTCCCCAAACAGTCATCCAAGGGACTTTCCACTGTTTCCAAAATCCAAATCCAGGTTCAAAAGACCAAAACCTGCCCCTCTGAGGTCACTCCCAAGAACCCAGGCACAGGCTGAGAAACGGCTGCGTGGTAAGAATCACGTTCCCATTCCCAGTTGCGTTTGCTGACATCCACCTGCCTTTATGGCCAAAGCTCCTATGTGTTCTCTCCTCTCCCCCCGCCTCCCATTCCTGACAGAGGGAGTGTGGGACACCCCCACCCACGCACCAGATCTGGCTCTGCCTTCCCTGGAAGTGGGCCCATCTTTTCTCCCTCCAGCAGAGCCCAGGCACTGGGACCAGCCCAGGCTCCATTTGCCCCACTAATGAGTCTTAAGTGTTTGGCTTGGGTTCCTGCCAGTCCTACCCCTACGGGGGAGGGTGGTGGGAGAGAATGGAACAAAGCTCACGCCAGCTTGACGCTGCTGGGCTGTGAGAGGGCTGGCACAAGGGCTGAGTGGCAAAGACCCACCCAGGGGCGCAGCCAGGCACCCATTTGAAGCCCCCTGCCTTTCCCCTCCACTTCAGGGGGGTTCCCAGAATGCAGGCTCAGGGATGTGCATGTTTAATAAGTACCCAGGATTGTGATGCACAGTGCAGGTTAACCACTGCTCTAGGAAGTCAATGATGGGAATTTCCAGTTGCTTTGTGAAATTCTGTATACATGCATTTTTCTAGCAAGTCCACAGGTTTGGTCAAATCCTCAAATTAAGTCAATAGCTACCATACCTCATTTTTTAAAAAAGAAGGCTAAGAAGCTCTAATCAGTGGGGTGACTTCTCAAAATGCAGCTGTAGTCTGAATTCAGTGACTCTGTTCAGGTCCCATCAAGGTGAGTCCACAGGAGCCTCTCCTTTTACCAAACCTCAGGGCAAGTCTGGGGAAATCCAGCATTACAGAGAGCTATACTCAGGGACAGTAGAATGACAAGGGCAGGGGCTTGGGTGGAGAAGGCCAGAATCCAAGGGAAATCCCAGAATGCATGGGCTGAAAGGCTAAAAGTATCCTTTACAGAAACCAACCCACTGGTGAGAAGGGTGAATTGTCACCAATATCCAGTTCTCTTTCTGGCCACACAGCTAAACATTTTCTAGTCACCCCTGCAGTTAGCATGGGCCATGAATTGAATTCTGGCCAGTGGAATGTGAGTTTCCCACAGCATGCTCCCCTCTCTCCACTGAATGCTGTGGAGGACTCCAAGGCCTCTGTAGATACCTGGCTGAGCCACAACAGGGAAGGTGCCTGGGATCTCTGAGGAACAAAGTGTCCCCACCACCAACCCACCCGGATTGAGCAAGTTTGTTTATGGAAAATAAACCTTTATATGTTAAGCTACTGAGATTTGGGGGTTATATGAATCAGCAATCAACCTTTCAGAACCCATACACCTTCCTCAGGTACACCAAGTCAAGGAGTACAAGGGTAGTGGCACGTTCAACAGCAGAGTGAGCTCCTGGTGGGTCAGGGCTAGAACAAGCATTTCCCAGCCATAACCTTGGACAGGGGGATGGGGCACCATGACCACACACCACAACTGGACAGCACCAATTCCCAAAAAACTTTATTGTTTCAAGTGGCAAAATGTTATTGGTCTCTGTGGGACACCTGGCAGAGCAGAGGGAGACCTGGGGTGGGGCTGGGTTCCATCCATTACAAAAATCAAAGGCTTTTATAAAAAATGCTATAAATTGGTATCAAAAGAAAACCCAAGGGAGGCTGGAGGAGGAAGCAGAGAGGGAGGCGGGCAGAGAGCACACGGAGGGAGGACCAGAACCTTGGACCACTAATGATGGAATCCAGGCTGGAAACCAGGCCAGGAGGGAAGGTGTGGGAAAAAGTTGGGACGGTGATACAAAGTGCATAAATGTGCCTCCCCAGACGCTCCTCAGAGGTGGAGGGGGACAGAGGCTGTAGCCTGGGACATGGGGTTGGGGCTCCAGCCATCTCCTCGCCGGGGACCCCACAGGAACGGGCACTGCCTGAGACTGCTGGATGGAAGGACCTGCACCAGGAAGGAAGAGGAGAGCTCAGGGGAGCCGACCGTGGAGGTAGAGAGGCTTCGGCTTCCTTCCCATGCCTATCCTGTCTCCCCTACTCAGCCTCGTTGTAAGGTCCCTGGCACATGTCCCCAGGGTCCCAGACCAGAAGGCTGGTGGAGCACACTCAGGACAGCCACAGGGCCCAGGGACCATCCTTGAGCCCAGGGAGGAAGGCTGGGATAGAAGCCCTCCTCCTCCTCCATCAAAGGCCAGATGACAACACCCTATTCAGTGGGCAAAACGGAGGGGAAGCCGAGGGACCCACCAAGTCTCTGGAACTTGGCTCCATCTGCCTGCTTCCAGCCCAGCAGAGAAGGAGATGGAGAGCAAAGGCGGGGGTGGGCGGCCGGACTCCTGTGTCCCACAGGGCACACCCTGCCCACCCCTGAACCCCAGCCCTGAGCCCCAAGGACATGCCCTCACCTCAGCAACTTCTCAGACTTTCTTCTTCTTCAGCTTCAGGGCTTGTAGCCAACTGGGCGACGACCCTTCTGACCTAGAAGGCACAGGGCAAAGGTTACAAAGTGAGCCCAAGAGAAGCCGAGCTAAATGAGGAGCAGTAGGAACAGGAACCCCCTTCTCCAACCAGAAGAGGCAGCCCAGGGCCCGGCTGCAGAGACGAGGACTCTGCCATCAACTTCCTACAGTGAACCTGGGGCACATCGGCCTCCTCCCCAAGCTTCGGTTTCCCTCCACAGGAAGTGGGGTTTCCCCTTTCAGCCCAAGACAGTGAGGTCCGTCAATGCCCTGAGTTCAGGTCACCCACCCTGAGGATTTCTCTGGCTTCGGAGGTAACACGAGGGGCTTCCCCAGCCCCGGGACCTTGCAGGACTTGGAGCGCTGGAACGCAGACTCCTTCTGGCTCGACTTGCTGTCCACCAGCTCCCCCTCCTCAGCTGAGCGGTTCCGGGGGCGCAGCTTGGCCTAAAAGACAAGTTCGGGTGCAGACAGATGTCAGTGGGACAGGTGAGAGAACTGAGAGAAGAGCAGGCAGTCCCCAGAGTCAGGCTCAAACCCCTCTGCAGTCCTTTCACCCAGGTGGACAGGAAGTCACCTAATGACAAATTTCCCGGAGAAGCACTGCCTTCCACAGTAGCCCCTTAGAGATACTGTTGAACTCAGGCTAACTCAGCTGGACAAAGTGGTGACTTCCAGCCCTATGCCTCTGGTCATTCAGTTGCCTCTGCCTGGAAGGCCTCCGACCACCCCACCCTCTATAACCAACTCCTATGCATGCCTCACAGCTAAGGGCAAATGTTACATGAGGCCTTCCCAATCTAGCCTCCCACCCCACAGCACCTATTATGAAATAACTTCTCTCTCTGAACAGGCCCAGCCCTTATCTGAACTCCCCATGACCCCTAACCTTCTCCTTTCCCCAGCACTAACTATGGACATGGCTATGTCCCCCACTATCCCCTGAGGTTCCGGGACATAGCACAGCTTTGCTCCTCCTTCCATCACTTAGCACACAGCGCAGGGCCCAGTCGGGCCCTCACTGGGGCAGAATGAGAGGAGGAATGGGAGGAAGGGGGTGGGGAGATGAATAGAGAGAATGGAGAGAGAGCTGTATGCAAGGGGCCAGCTGGCCAGGTGGCTGGATGTGTTTGCTAAACAATCAGATGGTACCTTCAGGGCTGATGGGCTCAAGCCAGGAAAGAGGTTGACTTTCAGGCCCTTGGTGCCCAAGGACATCCGTGTCCTGCGGTTCTGAGGCTCCTCCACCACCTCCTCATCTGAAGATGGCACCCGAGAAGCTCGTGGCTCTGCAAGGGACCAGAGAGGGCTCAGCACAGACAGCAACCCCAGACCAGACATCTGCCACCCGGCACACCCCCACACATCGGTCCACACATCAAACACACTGGTCCTACCTGTAGAGTCCTGGAACAGGTGTGCATCCGAGTCTGCCGCCTCCGACAGGCCCAGGGTACCGCCGGGCCGGATGGCCGGTGCCCGGTGCCCACGCTTGCGCCCCAGGTTTGCACGGCTCCGATACACGGCACTGTCGAGGACCTCAGTATCCTGCTTGGGACAACAGCAACACCACTGCCATCACTGTCCTGTGGTCCTGCCCCATCCCACGTGAGCTCTTCAAAAGCAGCTAGCTATGAGCAGAAGCCTCCTGCAGCTCGGGGCCCCTTATTCATATAACTTGCCCACCACCCTTTGCCTACCAACCACTCTCTGCTTCCTGGAGTGAGACCACCCAGGGCTCTGAGCAGCCAAGGGAGCCCCAGGGATCAGGCTCTGGATCTACCCCCACCAGCCCCCCACAAAGCCCATCAACTGCCCCTGCCCTGGGCTCACCCTCCACTGACCTCAATGAAGGAGAAGTCCTGACTCGGGGAACTGGGGGAAGGGCCGGGTGGGGGTCGCCGAGGGGGCCTCATCGGGCCCTGCTCGCCCCGCCCAGCCCCTGCAGGGCCCCAGCTGCCATCCACCTCTTCTGTCCGGCTGGCTTCACCATCAGGCTGGGGCCTCCAGGAGGGCAGACGGTCCCTGCTGGGCTCCAGGGGCTCCCCTTGATCAGCACCTGCTGTGGTTCCTTCCTCTTCCGACAGAGTCCGCAGGCCTGAAGCTGAAGCTGCTGACTCCCGCCGGGCCACTGCCTTTGAGCTGCTGACAGCCAGCATCTCCTCCAGCAGGCCCTGGGAGGCAGAGGGCGGCGAGCGGGCCAGGCACCCGCCGCCGGGGCTGCAAAGGAGACGGACCAGAGGACAAGGTCATCGTGGGGCCACATCTCCCTCCTCCAAAGCCCCCTTCACAGGTCTGTCTCCCTTCTCCCCAGCCTCTCCCTCATTCCCATGCTTTTCCCAGGCTCCTTCAGGGAGGACATGGCCAAGGCCACACACAACAAGGCAGAGGGGACGAGCTGGGCCAGCCTGGCAGGTGCAAATCCTGGGTCCTCTACTTATAAAACTTTGGGTGAGTTCCTTCACCTACGAAAGCTTCTAACTTTACAGTGTTGTTAGGAGCACGAGTCGCCATGCCTGGCACTCAGCATGTGCCCTACGAACAGCAGCTATTGTCACTACTGCCACCCATGCTGTTGATGCTGTCCTGTGTCCCTCCAGGGGCGCCCGCTTGGGCGCACACTCACCTTGGGACGAGCCGTGCACCCTCTTCAGTCCCCGCTCCCCGCCCAGGTCATCTTTCCCTACGCCCGTCTCAGAACACGCCAGCCCTGCAGACTGCTGTGTATCTGGACACGCTGTTCCCTCGCCCTCCACGGGAAGCTTCCCCGCTGCCCCTCCACTCTCTCTCCTTGAAGCTTAATGCCTCTGCTGAAGCTGGCCTGCTCCCTCCCCCAGCCCCCGCCCCCCTCAGCCCTGCAAGCCCAGG